GAGCCACTGGAGTCACAGGCGTGGGCCACCTCACCTGCCTTGTGTTTTGTTCTTGCGTCTCTTTTTCAAAGGCTTCATCAAGAGCTGGCATCGCTTCCTTACCAGAGAGACACCAGGACATTTCCTCCACGTTGAGCTGCTGCGAAAGAGCAGGGAGCTGGGCGGGGGTAGCACCAGGGGTCTAGGGGCCCGCCCACCCTGACGGACCAAGCCTGTCCTGATGCCCGTTGTGCCTGGCATTGACGGGCAGCCCACCTGGGACTCTGCAAGGAGAGACCTGAAGGTGATGTAATGGGTGACGGCTGTGTCTTGGCGCAGGGCCAGCGGCCCCCACACCGCCGGCTCTGCTTCCCGGGCCCCTCCTGACAGCATCTTGGGGCAGAACAAACATCTGGAAGGTGTTTCTGCTCCAACACAGGAAGTGTGCCTGGCCCCGCACACATCCCAGAGCAGGACACCGGAGCTGGCCCAGCCGTGGGGCCTCTCCCCTCCTTCCTGCCGCAGGGGTGCGAGGGGCGGGGGTGGGGCGCTGCGAGGAGGGGAGCAGAGGGTGGGGGAGGGGCGCTTCACGGGGCTGGCCTCTGAGCTGCCCCCAGGACACCTGCGTGGAGAGCCTCACCTGGGTGGCAGGAGAGGCGTCCTCCAGGTGCTGGACACCAGGTCGGGCCCGGAGCTCGGCAACGGTCTTCTTTTCTCCCTCCCTCCCAGGGACAGCCCCCACCCCCCAAGACCCCCAAGTCCGCCCAACACCAGATCCAGCAGGAAGCAAAGCAAAGCTCAGGAACCGGTTCCTCCCAGCCCTGAAGACAGTACCCTGCCAGGCCAGGAGGGGCAGGCCGCAGCCCAGGGCCAGGGCCGGACGGCATGGTCCACATCAAGGGCCCTTCCCATTTTCTTCATGGGATATTTTTTTCTGGCATTTTCCACGTTGTCCCTGCTACTTTTGTGGTCATAACGCAGTGTGTAAAAATGGGCAGGGGGATGCCGGGCGTGGGGGCACACACCTATAACCTAGCAGCTCAGGAAGCTGGGGCAGGAGGATCGCGAGTTGAAGACAGCCCGGGCAACTTAGGAGACCCTCCACAACTTTGTAAGAGCCTGTCTCAAACTTATTTAAAAGGGTTGGGGGTGTGGGGGTGTAGCTCAGTGGCCTGGGTTTGATCCCCAGTACCAAAAAAGCAAGACCCACAAAAGGAGGGGGCATCCATAAATAAAAATCCAAAAGCAGACCCCGGGCCGGCCGGCCTGCGCTCTCCTGGTTTCCGTCTGGCTCCCTGCCCAGGCCGGGGGACCCTCCCCCACCCCACTTCACACACCATGGACTCTCGCTGGCCCCTGAGCTCGGGGGCTACAAGAATCCCCCAGGCTGCGTCTGGAAGGGCCTGTTTCTCCTTATTTTCCGGCTCTAAACCTAACAGCTCAGAACAGGGGGAGGAGGCAGTGAGGAACCCGGCCTCTGCTGCCCTGTGGGCCTCCCCCTTCCCACAGAGGTCCCCCGGCCAGCATGAGGTGGGGGTGGCTCCTTCTCGGGGCCTTCCGGGTCTCCCTGAGTCCCTCCTTGGTGACCGCCTGGCCTGGCCTGCTGAAGGAAGGTGGGTAGGGGGTGTGAGGCTCTACCGCAGGGTTCTGCTTGGTTGGGTGGGGGTGGCGGCACCCACTGCGCTGGGAGGTGTGGGGTGGGCTGGGCAGAGCTGGTGGGCAGTTTCATCAATGAGATGACAAGGGTCCACGGTCAGAGAGCTGGACTGAGGTGGCTGGGGCATGCTGGCCTGGTAAGGAGGCCCTGGCGAAGGGCACGTCGGCCCAAGGGTGGAAGGAGCTGGACCCCTGAAGCTGGGGCGGAGAGGGTCTTGGGCCCTGGAGAGGAACTGCTTGACGGTGGTGATGGCAATGGGGACAGGTCGGTCTGGAGCCAGGAGGGATTCAAGGTGCAGGACCTGCCAAGAGCAAAGCCACGGCAGCTCTAAGGGCCTCGGAGAATTGAGGCTCCGGGCTAGCAGCCCCCAACCATGTGGACTGACCCTCTCAGCTGTCCATGTCCACAGCAGATGCTGGCAGCCAGGCACGCCTCAGAATCCTTGAAGCAAAAGCCCCATGTGGCCACTGCCCGTCCACTCATTTTGAGATGACTTCAGAGGTCAGGTGGCCCCTGAAGAGCCAGAGCCAGAGAGGCCAAGAGCATCCTGAGGCCGCCTGGCCCCTGTGCAGCTGAGTGGAGGCAGAGCAAGGCTGGAGCCCTTTAGGTCCAAGTTCACGGCTTTCCCACTCCTCTCCTGCACGGCCCAAGACGGCGGGAAGGGGGTGCAGTGGGTCGAACAGAACCCCCCCAGTTCACGTCCACTCAGGACCTTGGAATGCACCCTCATTCCTTGCAGATGTAACAAAAGACCAGATTATACAGATCAGGGTGGACCCTAAGTCCACGGTGCTGCAGAAGAGGCTGGGGAAGGCCATGTGAGGACAGAGGCAGAGACTAGGGTGACGCAGCCCTCAGGGGCTGGAAGGGCAGGGAGGAGCAGCGTCCCGACACCCCGAGCTCAGCCTTCCGAGAACTCTGGGATACATTTCCACAGTGTCACCCAGGCTGGGGTCATTTGTCACAGCAGCCACCAGGCACTGAGACACAGGACTCTCTGCCCACACCAGGGGCTGCTGGACCAAGATTCCTTGGGCCTCGGTCCCCGCACCTTGCACACAGACAAGCTTGCCCGGCCAGGCCTGGACTGTGTGGGGACACGCTCTCTCGGGACACGTTAAGTTGGTGTGAAATTACTGCGAATCACTGACCAGCTGCTAGGTTAACCTCATAAATTTCAAAAAGAAAAACTTTCTAGACCTCCCCAGCAGAAACCCTCCAGACCCCGGGGGCAGATGATTTAAGGCCCACCATTTGCTTTCCTCCTCAGCGGACAGCTTCTCAGTCCTACCCCTTCCTTGCCCTGTGTGACTGAGACAGCGCCAGGTTCCACTCTGGCCCGAGTTTTCTTGCCTGAGCCCCTCGTCCACCTGCAGTGGACCCCGGCCAGTCCTGAGGCCGGGAGAAGGGCACGCTCAGGGTAGAAACGACATTTCCACTCCGGAGCCTCTGAGTTTGCATTTGAAACATTTATTTCAGGAAATACATTTCAACACTTTTGTTATTTATACAAAAAGAGACGAAATTCTCAGGAGGCACAGAGCTAAAGGCCATTACGGAACACAGCCCAGCAAAACGGTTCAAAATCTGGTTACAGAGAAAGGAAGCAAAGCCTTCCGGAGCCCGGGATTCTGCTAACCCCCCAGGCGACATGGGGGCTGGGGAGGGCGGGGCCATGCGTCCTGGACCCTGGGCTGCACACTTTCAAAGTCTTGGTTTTGGCAAAAACTTGGCAAGTCGGTAGTTGGCATGTAAACTGTGGGGCAGAGGGTTTGTCTTCTCCTGGAATGGGAGGCAGAAGGTCAGCTGTGCATGGTCCCTACCAGTCCCCTCTCGGGGACCAGGCTGTGTCACGGTTAAGCCTTTCTCTGCAGCCTAGGTGTATTCTGTGTATCTCTGACCCCTTGTCTCTCCCTCTCTGGGGACTTTAAAATGGACTCTAGGGTACAGAGGCCCAGGAACGTGGAGGACAACCAGCAGCCAGGCTCTGTGGCCCCCCCGTGTACCCAGGTCTCTGGGGCAGTGAGGGCTGAGCAGGAGCAAAGCTGGTGAAGGTGGAGGAGGGGCATGAGTGTAGCCGGAGTGTCTGGGCCAAGCCGAACTCCACAGGTGCAAATGCACCTCCTGCGCCCGCAGGGTGGCCCCCCGCTTCGCCCCTCACCCCTCCACCAGAGTGCGGGACATGCCCAAAATTCAGGGTGGAGGTACCTCCGTCCTTTAATCCTCACCAGATCGCACTGCAGCACCCACAGGCAAAGGGAGGAGAGGGGACACCACAGGCCTCCTGCCTGCAGCCTGTCTGGCCTGAGGGGACACACAGGGACGCTGAGATAAGGCACTTTCTGCTCCGGGCTCATGGGCGGGCAGGGGCAGCCGGGGACTTGCCACCTCTAAGCAGTGGGCAAGCTGGGCTGTGGAACTCTAGTCTCCCCTCGGGAGCAGGGGCAGGTGGGGTGCGGAGTCACGTCCCATGACATGTAGGGGGCAGGAGGGGCTCCAGGTCCACCTGCTGGCTCTGTCCTCCCCTGGGTACAGCCTCCGACAGGGGCCAGGGGACGTGGCCACTGGGACAGAGTATGGCTCAGTGGTCATCCCTGCACCCTGGACCTGGCCCAAGCACAGACCCCCCCAGGTCTGCAGGCTCTGCGCAGGGGGCAGACAGTGGCTCTCCTGGCCCCCGGGAGCTGGACCTGGGTGGGGGGTTGGATCCAGCGGGCCCTCCCTTCACCCACCGCCCAGCCCTCCCAGCCCTCAGGAAGGCCAGAGGCTGGCCCGGGCCCAGGACCAGACCGAGGTCCAGCCATGTGCCCGGAGACCTCAGGCTGGTGCAGAGCACATGGGGTGACCCGGCAGTGTGTAAAAGGGGCGGGTGACAAATGGAGAGAATGATATGAAATAAGACGGGTGAGTGGGCGGGCCTGGGGCGTGGGGGACTCGGGTGGGTCCCGGGGGCGTCTACATCTCCTCAGCGTCTGGCTCCTTCTCCAGCCCGTTGGCCAGGGTGCTGCTGCCCTCGCTGAGGCGCTTCACGCGGTAGGCTTCGAAGTGGATGCTGCTGGTGATGTCCTTGATGTTCTGCATGTGCGTCCTGCGGGGAGCGCGGTCAGCGGCCGCCTGCCCCTGCCCGCCCCACCCCGATGGCTGGGCGCTCCACGGGTCCCCTGGGCTCACCAGGCCTGGTGCTAGACAGGGCCTGCCACCCGGTGCCCTGAGCATGCTCCCTCCCCAGGCTGCTGCCGCCCACCAGGCACCCGGGCTCTCACCTGATGAGCAGGTCCCGCAGGTAGGCAAACTCACAGTGCGTGGTGTTCTCGACTGGGGAGAGACGGGGCTTCAGCGTCACACGGGACACCCCCTCCCCCCACCCGGTAATGCTGCCAGGAGCAGCGTCTGCGGACGGTCGGCTGGAGCTGCGCAGGGGCGGGAGGGGGAGTCCTGGGCACCTGCAGCACCCGGCACTGACCCCAGCACCTGGGATGTGGGCGGCAGGAAGAACTCAGCCCATGCTCCCCAGAAGGTCCAGCCTATTAGGGAGATGGCCCTGCCACCAGGTCAAGAGCCATAGGAGGCCCCTGCTCCCGGGGTGGCCAGGGAGATGGCTGGGAAGAGCTGGATGTCCCCACACCAGCCTGAAGGCAGGTGGGGGCTAGAGTGCAGGGAGCGGGATGAGGTGGGAGTTGGGGGGCTTTTCAAGGAAACCCGGACCCCAGCTACAGAGGCACAGAGTGGGCACCAAGTGCCCGCACACAGAGACTGTGACAGTGGCCACCCTCCGTACAGGAACTCAGGAACAGCACAACGAAATGAGACTGCCTGGGACTCCTGCACAGGGGACATGACCAAGGGGACCCCGGGGGAGGGGTGAGCACAGCTGGGGCTCACTTCTGGGGCCACCAGGGGCGACATGCACGTCCGTGGGCTCCCCTGAGCAGGCCGGTGCAGGTGGAGCGCTGTGGGCGGCAGCGAGGTGCCACTCGTGGCTGTGGCTAACTCACACACTGCCAGGAGTGTGTGACCGTCATCAGGGGTGGGGGCTGCGTGGCATTGGTGGAGGGACTAGGGAAGCTACTCTCCCTGGGTGGCCAATGCAGTCTCCTCAGGCCCTGCAGGCCCAGCTAGGGTCCTCTGCTGTAGCCACTAAGGCAGGCCCGGGAAGGCGGACGAGGTCACAGAGGGATTGGAACCCAGGCCCCAGCTCCACAGTCCCGTCTGCCCCGGCACAGAGCAGTAGGACTTCCCCGGTTGACAGTCTGGGTTTTGCCTGAAGAGACAGCAGGCGGGGCCCAGGCTGTGAAGAGCCGTCCCCCGGACCCCATCCATCCCTGCAGGGCTGGGCCCCACGGGAGGCTCCGCGGCAGGCCCCATGGGAGGCATGCAGCCTGGTCTCCCGGGTCTGAGAGCTGGCAGGAACCGGAGCTCGGGTCTGATCTGTGTGATTGGTTTCCTGGCTTGGGCAAGTTATTCTGCTCTCCCTGACCCTGTTTCCTCATCTGTGAAGTGGGATAGCAGTGTCACACACTTCTCAGAGACGCGAGGACCAAATGAGCTCATGGTGTGACCTGCAAACCCACTTCCTCTTCCAGGAAAAACCACCTCATGACCACACCTGCAGGGGTGCACCAAGCAGCAGGTTCTCTGTCAACTCACGAGGTCTCTGGTCTGGACCCATGATGCTCTGGGGAAGTCTTTAGGGTCTTCATAAAAGCCAGATGGCTTGAGAATCGCTACCCTGTCAGCATCTTTACAGGCGCCAAAGGGCTGCTGCTTAGAGGGTCCCCCAGCTGAGTCCTGACATGCAGCTGCCTGAAGTGCCTGGTGCTGGCCACCAGGGGGCAGCAGCAGAATGCCTATGTCCAGAGTCCCCTCCCTGGGTCCCCAAAGGCTCCTTTTGATCCCCAGCGTCTCTGTTCTCTAAAACAGGATTCCTGGAGCTAGGTTTGGGGGGTGGGCAGGGAGGAAGGGAGGAAGTGGAGGAGGGGCCTAGGGGAGGTGTCCAGGGAAAAGCCTGACAGAGCCTCCTAGTTCTGATGACCCCCCAAAGCTGCCCCCAAAATACCTGACCCCTCCCCTGGAGTGGGGGAGAACCAGGTCCAGCACGTGGTGCGACCCTAGAGATGCCCAGACTGGCGGGCACTCAGGTGGGGGGCGCGTGGGCATGGGTGGGCAGGTAGGGGCAAGCAGACAGGGCTCTCGGGGTGCTGACCCTGGGACAGGCCTGGTGCTACTCCAAGAGCTCCTGCAGACGAGAACCCCTGGCCAGGAGTCGCCTTCGGGGCTGGGACCCTCGCTGCAGACCTTCCTGAAAGGAGGGTGGGTGCAGGGACCCCGCGACAAGGGCTCCAAGGATGAAGCAAGGACCGGACCCTGGAGGACCAGTGCCTGCTACCTGTTATAACCTGTTTCTTCCTTTTTTCTTTTTGGTACCAAGGATTGAACACAGGGGCACTTGACCACCGAACCACATCCCGGCCCTTTTTACATTTTATTTAAAGACGGGGCCTCACTTCGTTGCCGAGGCTGGCTTTGAACTCTCCAACCTCCTGTCTCGGCCTCCGGAGCTGCTGGGATGACAGGCATGTGCCACTGTGTCTGGCTATAACCTGTTTCTTAAACCAACGGCTTCCTGCAAAGCTCCAGTGGTCTGTGGGACGTTTGATTTGCTGAATTCTTGGCACACGGTACCCACTTTATAGATGGATAAAGGAGACTTTGTGCCCCTTCTCTCCTGGCCTTTGGGCAAAGCCAGGCCTCCCTCCTCCATGCTGAGGGGTACGGAAGGAACAAAGGAGAGGAAAGAAGTGTCCAGGCCCACCCCCCAGGAGCTGCCGCCGGAGCTGATGTGCCCCAGACAGGGCCAACGTGTGTGGACCTTGTCCAGAAGACGTCTTTGAAGAGGTAATCAAGGGTTTCAAAAGGTACCGGCCTGCACTCAGCGTGGGCCAAGGAGAGTGACAGTGGTCTTCAGTGGCCCTGGGCCACGCGTCCTGGGTGCCGAGACTCATTGTCCCCCTCCCCCGGGGCCCCAGGAGGGGGAATACCTTCGATGGTGCCCCACTTGGTCTTCCTCCCGAGGATCCGCTTGCCATTGACTTGGTACTCCTGGTCACTGCCCACCACGGCAAACGGGATCATCTCCTGGGGGAGGGGCGGGTGGGTTGGTCCCCTGCTCAGAGAGGCCAGCTCAGTCCTGAGGCCTGGGCCCCTCCCCGCCCAGCCCAAAAGGCAGTTCCCCAGGGCTCAGGCCAGACCCCCTCGATGGGCAGAACCTCCCCACCCCGCATGCCCACCGGCAAGCCCTGGGACCTGGGAGGCACTCACCCGGAACTTCTCGTTCACCAGCCTGTCCTCCGAGTCCTCGTCAAACTCCTTCTGGGGGTACACGTCGATGCCGTTGGACAGCAGGTCTGCGGTGATCTGGGGGACCAAGGGGCAAGCTGGAGCCACCCTGCAGCCAGCTGTGCCCACCAGCTGGTATGGTGACCTCAATGCTGCCAGCTGCCCCTGGCTCAGGGTGAAGGGCAGGCTCTGGGGGCAGGACCCTGATCATCTCCTCTTCTGGGGCCTCCTGAGTAGGAGAGGGGTACTGCAGACCTGCCTGCCCTGAGATTCTGTGGACCTCCAAGGGCCCCGGGGTCACTCCTTGTCCTGTGTCTCCCCTGACCAGCTCAGAATTCAGGGTTGCTGAGCCCCTCCTGCCGAAACCCTGGTCATAGCCACCTCTGGTGCACCTGCTGTGTTAAACTGTCTGTCCCCAGAACGCAGTGCCAGCCATGCGATGGGCAATGGAGAATGTCCCAGGGAACAGCTGTCACATCTACCCTGAGCTCCACGTGCACCTGGCCGCGGGTCCCTTTCCCTCCAGGAGCTGCGTCTCTGCATGGTGAACTGTCCTTCCCTAGGCATGCTGGAAGACCCCCACCTGGCCCCCGATGGAGGCCCTTGGAGCTGGGCATGAGACTGGAGGGCCTCCCCAGGCACCAGGCTGGCACACGGGCACCTCAACATGAAGAGTTCCCTGGCTGTGTGCCTCCTGGGCTGAGGTGGCCTCTTCCAGGCCCACAGCCTGCCTCGAACACCAGTCCCCAAGAAGCAGGGGGCCAGGTGGAGGCGGAGCGTCCTACCCGCTGTTTGAAGTAGACCCTCTCCTCCAGGGTCAGTGTGTCAGCCTTGGCAATGACGGGGACGATGTTGACCACCTTACTTAGGCGCTTCATGAACTCGATGTCCAGGGGCCTGAGGCTAAGACGGAAGGAATCGGGTGAGACTCGGCTGCCCTGCAGCAGGGGACTGAAGGAGGCCTCACCGCCAGGACTGGGGATGAGCTGCCCGGACTGCCAGCTGGGACTGTCCAGTGGGTCCACACTGATGAGGACCAAGTGGTGAGTGCAGGGCACGGGAGGGGCAGGGCAGGTCCCCGACAGCACCACTGAGCTGGAGCAGAAGGGTGAGGCCAGCCCCCAGCAACCTCGCCCACGAGGTTCCCAGAGCCCAGCTGCCCTGGACAGGTCCACGTGGAGGAGCTGCGCCTGCCCAGATGGACAGGGGTTTCCCTGGCGGGGACCAGGGGGAGGATTGGAGCCAGCGTCCAGCAGCTCTGAGCCCTGGGGCTGGCTGCCCCGCAGGGCACCTGGCCTGGTGAGCCTGGGTCTCAGGTGGGGAAAGGCATGGATGGAGGTGGGGGCTGGCAAGCCCCGAGGAGTGGGCGTCACTTTCCCACTGGAGCAGACCCCCCCACAGTAATAAGTCACAGCCAGGCCAGAGCAAAGATGGCCAAGGTCACCCCTGCCCCCTGGGATGGGTGCTGGTGAGGGGACGGGGACCAAGCCCAGTGCCCAGCTAGGGTCCCAGTCCAGAGGGTCTTCTCCAGAGAAGCACCCTTAGCTCTCCCTTCTGGGACCCAGCTGAGCTGCTCTGCTGCAGGGGGCAATGCTGGGTCCTGGGGAATCCTGCCAGGCTGCTCCCTGGGGGCAGAGTCCTGTTTCCAATGGACTCAGGCTGGGCCCCAGGGGACAGCTCCTGGGACTTGGGCTCGGGGACTCAGGCTGGGCTTTCCCACCAGACCCCAGGCTGAGGCTGGCTGCCCTCCCACCAGGTCTTCCTGCAACCAGGAAACGGGGGTGTGGGAGGCAGCCCAGAGTAGCCAGAGAGCCGTGATGTGGCTGCAGTGGACAGGAGGACCCCAGGTCCCCCACTGGGGTTCAGAACCCAGCTCTCCCTGGCCAACAAGCCACCTCCACTGCTCCTGCTGCCCACAGCGCCCCGGAACAGGCCTCTTCCCCTCACCCCGACCCGGCAGGAAACAGGATGCACCATGTTCCGGGGCTGGCGGTCAGAGAAGCTGAGGACGTAGGTCAGTGAGGTGGAGTGGGACCTGGCAGAGCACCCAGGGCTTCCCAGCCTCACTGACCTCTGGGTGACAGGACTCTAGGTAGGGACAGAACCGGCAGGAAACAGCCCTCACCAAGGTGGCTCTGGCCAAGACCAACCGCTAGGTTCTGGGATAGCCTTGGGGCCTGAGTCAGAGCAAAGATGGCCAAGGGTCACCCTGCCTCCTGGGATGGGTGCTGGTGAGGGGTCGGGGACCAAGCCCAGTGCCCAGCTGGGTCCCAGTCCAGAGAGTTTTCACCAGAGAAGCACCCTTAGCTCTCCCTTCTGGGTCTCAGCCAAGCCTGAAACAGCTGGATCAGCTGCTCAACTCCCCAGGAACAGGGCACAGACCCCTCACATCCCAGCGGCCAATCACGGTCCCTGACGCGGCCCCTCTGTGCCTGGCAGCAGGGTGGACAGACCGTGCGGGCAGCCCTGGGGCCACGGGACCTGGGGCACCCACACCAGCACATGGGGCGTGACCAGGACGTACGAGTGGCCCGTGGCAGGGATGAAGTAGAGGCAGCAGTGGACGCGCGTGTCCGGGATGCGCTTCTTCCGGTTGATGTTGACCTCCTCCTGCAAGTA